CCAGGGAGGCCTGGCACCTGTTGTTTAGCCCAGCCTTGCCCACTGAGGTCACCCAGCTGGCCCCGGTCTGGGAGGGACCATGACCACACCACTATGTAGGGGACCGGCCCTCCTTCCGAGGCTGGACACGCGCCCCCCCCAGAGAGGGAGCGAGGAGAGGGTCCCCTTCTCCCTCCACCAGCCTGGCACCCCAGTGGGAGGGATCCTCAGGGCAACAATGTCTCAGTGGGGAGGGAAACGGCTGCCCTTCCCTGGCCGCACATCCAGGTCACAGAAGCCCGCTGACCGCTCCGTCTGTCCTCCAGGCTGCCGACGCGGTGGGGGAGATCCTGCTGTCCCTCAGCTACCTCCCCACAGCCGAGCGCCTCACCGTGGTGGTGGTGAAGGCCAAGAACCTCATCTGGACCAGCGACAAAGCCACCGCTGGTAAGGGCCGGCCGCAGCGGGCACCCAAGCTGGCGGGGCGAAGCTGGCAGCTAAGCCCGGGCAGCTGGAGGCTTCGGCAGGCGCCGGCCGGCCCCTCCCAGCTTCGGCTGCACTCCGAGCCGTGCCTGGTAGGAGAGGGTCAACCCACACTGAAACCTGGGAGCCACCGAGGGTGCAGCGAGCCCCGGGGGTGGGGGCAGGCAATGGAGTCGGGGCCAGGGCAGGGAAGCACCATGTGGCCCCACTTTCCAGGCCTGGCTTCCTGGGCTGTGTCCATGGCCGGAGGCTGGGTGCATCCTGCTCCCATTAAAGGAGCCAGGGCCGGCAGGTGGGGCCAGGAGGGGGGCCAGGAGGGGTCAGGTGCTGCCCAGAACCAAGTCAGAGGACCGGGAGCTGGGGGCGGGCCCAGGCCGGCGCAGCCCGACACCCAGCGGGTGCTGGCGACGGGCAGATGGCGACTTACTCTGCACGCCTGGAGCCAGGCTCTGCCGCACAGGCTCTGGAGATGCTGACGGCTGCGTCAGGCCACTTCTAGCAGGGACAGTGGGAGGCTGCCCCCTCCCCGGAGCATGCAGTGAGGGGAGCTGCACGTGGGCTGGGAGGTGGCTGCCTGAGTCCTGAGCCCAGCGCTTCTCTGACACGTGTGTGAGCCTCAGTTTCCCCAGCAGTCAAGTAGGATCAAAACAGAGGACCCAGGCAGGACTGCGGGAGAGTGTGGCCATAGCGGAGGTGGGGCGGCCGGGCAGCGGGCCGCGTGGTCTGGACAGGGCGGCCCCGGTGAATGTGGCCCTGGCTCTCACCCCTCCCTGCGCCCCCAGACCCCTTCGTCAAGGTGTACCTGCTACAGGATGGGAGGAAGATGAGCAAAAAGAAGACAGCTGTGAAGAGGGACGACCCCAACCCGGTGTTCAACGAAGCCATGATCTTCTCCGTGCCGGCCATGGCCCTGCAGGTAAGGGGCGCGGCAGGGGGGTGGGGGGACACCGCCCCCCGTCGCCAGTGGACAGCTGACCTCAAGCCATTGCATGTCTAGTCCAGAGGCCTGATCAGTGCCCACTGGGCACAGGCCTGCAGGAGGTGCTGGGGACATGGGCACACACGGGGGACAGGTGGCGATTCCCGGTCAACCTGACCCACAAAGAACCTGCTAGATTGGGGCCCAGGGAGGCTCCCTCAGGAGGGCTGGCTGCGCTGAGACCTGGAGAAGTCCCCAGTGAGGGAACCGCGGAGGCCCACAGAGGGCCAGGGCTCAGCCGAGGGCCCCACCTCTCCCTGGCGGGCGCCCCCCAGCCTCAAGAAGCCAGGTGCCCTGAAGGCCCCTCCCAGCAGACACCACAGACCCCAGGTGGGCGCTGCGGAGGACAGCCTGCGCCACACGCCAGTGTCCTCTGCCTGCCTGCCTCCAAGGGCGGGGAGCTCACCACCATCCGGCCTCCCCCTTGGGGCGTCCTTGGTAGTGAGAAAGTCCTCAAGTGCCTGGAGCCGCAACCACAGCCGCGCCTCGGTGCATCACATACTGCAATTCTGTTAGCTCCCAGCGGGGCTAGGAACCATTGCTGCCCAGTTTCACAGATGGGGAAACTGAGGCAATGAGCCCGAGGTCACGCAGGAGGTGGGGAGGCTGGCATGTGACCTGGGGCCTCTGGGAGACGGCCACGCACAACTGGGGCTGGACAGGCCAGCAGGCAGGAGGCAGAGCCAGGCCAGGCCCAGCTTGCAGGCTGGGGAGCCCAGGGGGAGCCCGGGGGGGCTTTTGGCACCGCCCTGGTCCCCAGCGCCTGTCACATCTCCCCAGGACCTGTCTCTCCGCGTGACGGTGGCTGAGAGCAGCAGCAACGGCCGCGGGGACAACGTGGGCCACGTCATCATTGGGCCGTCTGCCAGTGGCATGGGCACCACGCACTGGAACCAGATGCTGGCCACGCTGCGCAGGCCCGTGTCCATGTGGCACACCCTCCGGCGAGACTAGTGGCCCGGGCAGGGCGGGCACGGAGCCGCCGGAGCCCGGCGGGTCACCTGGGCCCCTCTGTCCCTACTGCCGCGGGGAAGCCGGGCAGCTGCTGTCGACTGATCCCGTCCGGGGTCAGCTGTGGCTGGGCCAGGCCCTGGGCGGACCTGCCCCCAGCCGTGGGGCGGCACCTGACTTTCGGGGCAGTAGGCTCCCTGGGAGCCGAGCACGTGCCAGGCACCGACGGGGAACGTGAACAAGACACAGCCTCGAGGCAGCGTGACCTGCCCAGTGCTGGCGCGGCCCTGGCCCTGCCCGAGGGACTCAGGGACTCTGGACTTGGGGGGCACTCTGCGGCTGGGAGGGGCAGAGGGGAGCTGCGCTTTGAGGGGAGCTGAGAAATAAGAGTCCCAGCCGGTGGCCCAGCCTGAGCACGGCAGGGACACAGACTTCCTGGGTTCAGCTCCCTGGTGGACGCTGGGGCCTGTCTCTGGGCAGCAGAGGGGGACAGCCCAGGCCGGCAGGCCCCTGCAGACCCCCTGGGCTGGGGGCCCCTGGTCCGGCTCTGACCCACACCCTTTCGGAGACCCTTTCAAGGCCCCAGGTCCCTGCGTTCAGCCCCCACATCCTTGGAGTCCCCGGGGTCACCCAGGGAGGGAGGTGCTCAGCTGGAGGGGCTCTTGAGTCGGGGTTCATGAGAGAATTAGCCCCCCCAAGGGAAAGAAGGTCCTGGGGCAAGGGAAGGGGCCACACAAGTTTTGATTTGACCCTGCTGGGAAGCTAAGCCATACACCCATGAGTCTGGCCGCCCCACCTGTGGGAGAGGGGCTGTGCAGGAGCTTCCGGGTGTCCAAGGAAGGAGGCCCCGGGGCTGTGGCCATGCCCTTCAGACTAGGGGATGAGGCCCCGCAGCTCAAGGGAGCTCAAGGGAGTTGGGGGGCTCACAGCAGCGGCACCTGCGCTCCAGAGCCACCCACAGCTGAGAGCGTGGCGGCCTGTTGTGGAGACCCAGGCCCAGCCAGGTATCCCCGTGACTTGGGAGTGGGGTGGCCCAGGGTGGTCAGGAGACTGGAGGCAGAATGTGGAGCCCCTGCCTGGCACACACCTGTCTCACTCCGAAGCCAGATCGTCCACCTGGTGGTCAGCACCCACAGGTCTGCCAGCCCAGGGCAGCACCGGGCCAGGCCCCTCACCCCCGCTGTAGCCCAGGGAGACCCCTGATTCTCCCCTCCCCCCAGTGGCTGCCAGCAGGCACCCACCCCCCACACTGCATGAAATGTGGCTTGTGCACGAGGACGGACGGGGTGCCGGGGTGCCGGCTGGAAATAAAGATGGGGCAGGAAGGGGGCTTCCGGGGAGCCCCGCTCAGCCCGAGTCACTTTCATCTCTTCCCCAGGAAGCTGGGCTCAGGCCTCCCGCAGTGGCTGTGACTGGGGCACTCTGCTGGGTGCCCAGAGGGGGAGGGGTGGCACCCCTGCCTGGGTCTGAGCCCTCACAGGGACCAAGGCCAGGCTGCTGGGGAGGCTCCCGGAAGGGCCCAGTGCCGGCCAGCGGGGCAGGGCGGCAGGGAAGCCTCTCTGCGCAGCTTCCCGGGCGTCTCCTGAGCCTGTGGGTCAAGGAGGAGAATGTCAGTTGCAGAAGCTGAGTCCCCGCAGAGGGAAGGCGGGGAAATGGCCGGAGCAGGCAAAAGCATGGCCAGTTTGCTAGAACATGGTTGGGGGAGGGCGTCGGGGGTAAAGGCTGAGACAGGAGAAGGTTCTTCCGAGTCCAGGGGAGGCATTAACCCCCCAAAATGGGTGGCCCCCATTTTGCATATGTGGCGACTGGCCCCCGAGAGGCTCGGCGACTAGCCCAGGCCACACAGCCAGGTCTCAGGCCTTCTGGCTCCCAGCCGCGGCCACACTCACTGTGCCTTCCCCAGTTCCTCCAGGGCGGGGCCGAGGGGCAGCAGAGAAGCCCCTCTAGGTCCCAAGCTTGCTCAGTTTCTCTCCACCATCTGCTCCCCTCCCTAGGCGGGGAGATCCCAGCAGCCCCCAGGAGATGTGCCCACCAAGGTCTTGACTGAGACAGCTTCTGTGCAACCCCCTGCACCCCGATACTAGGGACACGGAGGTAACCAAAGAGAGACTATTTCAGGAGCCCCCGATGGGTGGCAACCAAGGAAGCCTTCCTGGAGGAGGTGGAAACAGGAGGGCAGGGAGGACTGCCAGAGAGGCTCCAGGCAGAGGAGCTGCCTGCCCAAGGGGGTCGCAAGTGCCTGGAGCCGCCCAGGAGGATCTGCGAGGCTGCTGAGGGGCAGGGCCAGGGGAAGCAGAGGCCTGGGCCCAGCCCTGGGCCAGCTAGATGGCAGCCGTGGCCCTTTGGCTTCCGCCTCCATCGGCCTGGCCGGGCCACTCACTGGCTGTGTGACAGGTGGCTTTCTCCAGAGAAGCTGTTTCGCCGGCTGCGGAATGGGCCTAACAGACAAGAAAGCCCCCAGTGGCCTCCTCACCTCTGGCGTTTGGGAGTTCTGTGTACAGTGGCTGCCTGGCTGGGAACCCGGGGTCCCCCACAGCCCGGGGCTCTTGTGCAGACTACCTGTGCTCTTTGAGCCTGTCTGCCTCCCCGCCTGTCAGAGGAGGATAAGACTTACACTGCTTCGTAGCAGGGAATGAAACGGCCCCCGCCAGTGTGCGGCCCCAGCAGGCCCTCGGTAGCCATGAGGCGCAGGCTTGGGGTAGACGGGCTCTTGGGATGGCGGTTTGGGGTGAAAGGGAAGGGGCACAGGGAGGCGTGGGGAGCCAAGGCCTGCGTACCTGCCAAGGGGTCCCCAGGGGCAGGACGGGCCTCTGAATTCCCGCCCACTAGGGACGCCCTTCTCCCCTGCTCCCGCACCCATAAAAGCACCCCGCACCCAAGCCAAGAAGCCAGGATGACAGCTTCACACCAGTGATGACAGCGCAGGGAGCAGAGTGGCCACACGGGGGTAGCAAAGACTCAGGCAGCTAGAGAGGCGCTGAGGGGGGGGAATGAGGTGCCCCGAAAATGGGGTGGGAGTCCAGGTGTGCCTTGGAGCACGTGGAAGGTGGGGGTTCCCCAGTCTGCTGATGCTACACTCAGGTCATACATTGCATTCACCCCTCTGTGCATTCACTTTTTTTTAATGGGTGTTGGGGCGATCCTCCTCTCCCTGCTCCCTCATTTTCCTTCCTCTCCCCTCCTTGTCCAGTCAGGCTGCCCCATAACACCCTGAGCCTCGCTGGGTGCCAGGTCTTGCCGGACCAGCTGTGTCCCAAGGGGGAAGGGCCGGGAGCCCCTCTGCTGTCCTGGAGTGTGCGAGGCAGTGACCGCTGGTGGCCTTAGGACCCTGGGCTCGGAGCCCGTGTCCCCAAGGGACTGAGTCCCCAGAGGCAACAGCCAGCCTAGCAAGATCTCACTCTTGCCTAAGGAGGTGGGGTGAGGCTGAGGCCTGACATCAGGAATGGGGGTTTAAACCCTGCCTTCACGTCTGGTTGGCCTGGACAAGCCACTGCCTCGTGCTGAGCCACAATTCCCAAACCATGAGGCCTGCTCTGCTCCCCCACCCCTTCCCGGCCTCAGTTTCCACATCTGTGGAATGGGACAGCGCCTGCACGCAGTAGCCAGCCTGGCTGTCGGTCCAGGAGACGTTCAGTGAAACTAAAGCCTGATGAGACATCAAGGTGTCAGCAGCGTGAGCATTGCTATAGCAACCAAGGCTTGCCAACTCTGTCTACCTCTGGGTCCCTCCACCCAGAGTCTGGCACCACCTGAACCCCTAGTTCCACCACTCCAGGGCAGATGACAGCAGCGGAGGAATGAGGGTGACAAGGCTGACAACTGACCGAGGGGCCCCTCCCCACCACTCCTTGGGGCGGGGAGACCGGCTAGTAATACTACACCTCGCCCAGAACTACCGACTGCCCAGCCCAGCCCAGCCCCGGGGAAGTTTCAGCCCCTGCAGTTTCGGGCAACAAGCGGCACTGAAAAGGGGTCTGTCCTGGGGTGCTCCCGCCACCCAGTGAGGCTTCATTCATCCTGATGACCATGGCCCTGGGCGAGGCCGGAGTAAGCGGTCTGAGCACCATTGTGCCAGTGTGGGGAGAGGGGGTATAGCTGCCCCTTTGGGTCACAGAGAGGTTAGGGGGCAGAGGGTGCCTTTGTACCTGCCTGACTTTGAAGCCCAGGAGAGCTGACATTACGACCTGTGGCAGGGAGCATTGCGCAACCCAACCGCCTCTCACCCTGTTCTTTGAGCTTCAATGAAAACATCCAGTCCGCGGTCTGGGAAAACCCTGGAGTCCACTTTTAAAAGAAATTGGCTCCTAACGGGCGCCAGCGGCCGCATGACCGTCTCTGGTTCGGTTCTGAGTATTTCTGGGTCCAGAGTGCGTCACTGTCGCTTGCCTTAGCGTGTTCTGTTCCTCCCATCGGGATCACTTCCCTCTCCTGCCTCCGACTGGGTCTTCTGCCTCAGACCGGGTCTCCGTCCCCCCAAGCCTCTGACACCTCTTCTTGGAAGGCTGGAAGGCGCTCCTACCCCCAGCCCCAGTGAGGAGCACCTCTTCCTGGCCCTCGAGGTAGCCCGGTCACACCCATGGCCTGCCTGTGGCCACTGCAGGCCGTGGGCTTTCCAGGCAGGGCTGGTCTTGAACCAGCCTGGGCACAATGGGCCAAGCAGTACTGACTAGTAAGAATCCCTCACACCTGGTCCCAGCCCTGTGCCAAGCTCTGCTCTGCTCCTGACAGCTGGGAGGCCCAGCCGCATCCCCTAGACCAGTCAGCCAGAGGTAGGTCAGGCATCACCCTCACCCACCTGCAGCGAAACTTCCTGGTGCAGGGGGTGGGGCAGGCCAGGCTGGCAGGGCCCTGACTGACCAGAAAGGGGTCAGCCCTCCCACCTGGCTTTAGACAGGGAGAGGCTGCAGTTCTGTCTTCAGAGGCCGGGAAGAAGCATTTACATTCACTGGCTCACTCATCCCCTGGTGAATCCACCAAAACTCACCAGCTCCTGCTTGGTCCCAGCCCCTCTCCTCACCAAGCTGGTAGGGCAACAGCCTGCCCCCCACCTCCCTCCCTCTGCCCCCCTCCCCTTCCCCACGGGTGGCCCCCTACAGGGGACGGGGTGCCCTCTTGAGAGCTGAGGCTGCGGCTGCCCCCAGGGTCCGCACCCACGAGGTGCTGGAGAAACGCTACTTTGGGGCCCCGACTGGACCGTC